GCAACTGTTCCTTACAAATCCGACCGGCAAAAGGCCCAGGGGACGGCCAAGATTAACCTGGTGCAAATATGTGGAAGTAGTCTGTTCCAGACTGCATTTGTATTTTGCCGAAGCTGAGACGGTGGAACAGGATCGGGAACGTTGGAAGCACTGTCTGACGCGTCTGCCTCCACGACCCTAAAGGAAAAGCGGCGAAGGAAGAAGAAGAAGAAGATTCGCCCCAGCTGTTTACCGTATGTCTTGAGTCAGTACTCTGCAAAATAAAATGGGATGGAGTGGCGAGTAATAACAGATGTGTCTGTCATTGTGGAAAATATCGTCTTTATGGGGTCAAGCAACATATTATCCCGTCCCAAGTCGCACTCGATGTCGCTAAAGTAAATCAGGGTAGAAGGGCTCAAATCCTGCAACTGTTGCAGACGGACTTCGTCAGCTCAAGCTCACAATTAACATCAACAGAGGCATCCGTGCCAGCGCTTCACCTATGCCTTCCGGTCATCCAACCGGGCAGCCGGGTCATGTCGAGGGAGGCGTGATGCACTAGCCTTGCTATGAGGCGGCTGTTAATCAGAGGAGCCACCAGCAGCGATGGCCGATGGGCAACTGCAGGACGAGTACAGTGCGCTGTGCAGAAAAATACGGAATGATGTTTGGAAGGACTATGACGAGTACATGAAAACGAAGCTGAAAAAGATCACATTAAAGAAGAATATTTTGGGGTCCGCAGAAAAGGGTATCCTCCCATCATCATCTTCCTCTTCTTCTTCCTTGACCGCTACTCCTTTCGGGTCGCGGAGACAGATACGTCAGACAGTGCTTCCAACGTTTCGGATCCTGTGCCAGGGCTTGATCTTCAGCAGATCAAAATCAGAGTGTGGACCAGAATTCCGCGATATACTTGCCGCTGTTATTCTTGGACGGTTGGTTGGGCGAGTAGAGGCTGTTTCTCTTTCGTCTTTGAAAACATTCATAACCCGTATCCTGAGGTAATATTAAATATTTTCTTCTTCATCTTCCATGACGACTTCTCCTTTCTGGTCGCAGAGGCAGACGCGTCAGACAGCGCTACAACGTTCCCGATCCTGTGCCGGAATCTGAGCTTCAGCAGAAGACAACTGGAGTTTGGAACAGACTCTTCCATATATTTGCACCAGGTTTTGGCCGACCCATAGACCTTCTGCCGGTCAGTTGTGCAAGGAGCAGTTGTTTAGCCTTCCTTTCTAGATATCCTCCAAGGAAAACGAATTCTGGTAGCACTAGCAAAGAAATGAAGAGCAAGAACCGCATTCGCTTTCCCATAAAAGGTATCTGCAGGAAGTAGTATAAAAGATGTTTCTCATCGATGGCAACCATGATGCTGCCGAACGTTGCCCCGGAAGCCGTTCTCGATGTTATATGGGGTGAAGTACATCAGGGGTCTCCTTTGGCAACAAACGTCCATTCGGATGTCCACAAATCGCTGAGCCGATCCAATGACGACGCTGTTGGTCATCAGTAGAAGCAGAGGATACGCCGAAGAGAAGAGTGGCTGAACGTCGAATTGTGTCTGTGGCGTGGCCGCTGACGAAAACAAGTCGAAGAGAAGGACTTTAAATGATAGAATATTAGATCATGCAATTTTCCTGAGGAACAAATTAATTTATAAATGAAATGCTTTTCATAAGGTTACCATGGAATTTGCATCCATAGAATTTTGCGATGACTCAGTGTACTACGGCACATGCTGAAACTTAATGTACTGCAGTTTATTTTCGTAGGAGACTGCTGTAGCTGCGGAAACCATTTTTGAATCCTCGTGCTGACGGCCAATTTAGCAGTTATAGCCAAGAAGCTCATATATTTGCCCCGTTTAAAATGTAATCGTCTAGAAAACGAGTACTCGTGCTGAAGCTTCAAAAGATACACGATTGAATTTAATGAGAGCAAGACATAATTTACTGTATGCTAGGAAAACTTTGGAGCTAATTTTATGTTTACTTCTATTATTATATGTTTTGACCCAATTTATACTTTGACCCAATTCAAATTTCAGCTACCTAATACACCTGCTGCCAAGCATTATTGAAGAGCTGAAAAACGAATAAAGATTAACTAAACCAAACAGATTAGAAATTTGGTACTTACGTTCTTGTCGAGCGTTTGATCACAGTGTAAATTTTCGTTTGTCAGTGAAATTTATCCGCCCAACAAACCTTATATAACCATTCAGAAAACGTGACTTCTTTAATGAAGCGTGCTTCGTTGATTGGCAGTAGCCTAAGCCACTCTTGGAGAAAAATTAAATGAAAATGAAAAGAATTTTTTTTCTTGGCAGCTTGTTGAATCGTTTGTTGTCATCCTTCGAATGAATACAATGACGGAATATAGGTCACTTGGATGATCAGTCATTCTGTCGATGTTTCACGTCGCTTCAGCATTTCGGCAATTGATTTCAGTTGAAAAAAAATAGAAGCAAGGAATGAACATGGACCAATGGCAGGGAGAAAAAATTTCTTTCGGCAAGAGATGTTGACTGATTCATTAAAGACAACAGATAAAGTGTCACATCGTAGACAAAATTTCTATATTCATAATCTTGGCCACTGCAATGCAAAATCCCATCTCTTCAATTTTCAGTACACATGAATCACCTTTTTCGAAAGGGGTCGATTTACAAATAATTGAAAAAATTTAAATCAGTTAAAGCAGCTGGTGCAATTTTTGTGGATAGCATATTTGCAAATTTCAAATAATCAAAAATCATGATTAGCAAGTTTAATCGGCAAGCGTATGGTTGCCTACGTTAGGGTTAAAAATTTATTTGCCAGTTGAGTACCCCAGAATTCTACTTTTGAACATTTTAGGGCTTTGAGTCAGGAGTGAACGTGTGGTCCAATAACCGTTTAATTCAAGCCATAAATTGTAAACAATGTTCTACAATTGATGATTCTAATTTCCCATGGTACAAAGGGCATTGAATTATTATTTATATTCTTACCGACCGCCGCATGTTCAATCTTGTTC